AAAAAGAAGGTTGATGCTACAACAGAAAGACGACATATGACTATAGTAGAATCGGCAAGTCATGTGTCATCCTTGTAGCATGATAGTCCTAGTCATATCTATCTGTGGAGTTGCCCTCCATCTATGTCTAGTGTGTTGTTTATAGGCCTGGTACCTGTGTTTATCCCACAGGCTAGTTAATAACATGTCGGGTAGGAAATCCAAAGTGTGGGATCATTTTGAGAAGGTGAAGGACGAACCCAAGGTGATATGTAAACTCGTCTTCATTGGTCGACTACAAACATGATGTATCATCTGAAACATGGAAGTAGCTTCATGCCCATTAGCCACTTAGCACAATCATTACTGCTTTGCTGACAGCGTCATTAACAGGTGGCTCTCTCAGTGTGTGACGTGCACTTGTAGATAAAATATAGGCCTTTATTAATGAAGGTTCATTAGTACGGTTTTGTATTTCTCTGTAATGTAGCACAGTGTTAACAATGTTACTGATACTATTCTTTCCCACACCTTCAACTCAAACCATTGTGTTGCCCCGCCCAAAATATATCATTTAATAATTAAATTATTATTATAAACATGTGGGCAACTAGTCAACTAATGGCTCTAAATGACAACTGTTGGTTGACTAGGAAAATTCTTAGTCGGGGTCAGCCCAAGCTGTTTATTTTCTAAATGGCATTTATAGCCTATGTGCTGTGAACAGCTGCAGTCAACACAGTGAATTACACAAAGTCCCACAGGTAAAAATAGCACAAGTTCCTTGTTCACTCGTTTACTTGTTCTCTACTTTCTCTTGGCCACAGAGCACCAAGGTCCACCATCTGAATTTCAGTTTTGGGACATGTTGATAGTTTGTACCATCCACCAGCGGCCACAACCCCCAACAGACACGGTAAAGTGCACAACTTTGATTCAAAAAGCCCTGTTAGAACATCAAAAAAAACTTAAAAAGAATAACACTGCTGCCCTGGGTAGAGTCACTGCTGAGCTGAGGTGAGAGCGCCCAGTGCACCTCCAAAATGTTCCATAACTCTGTTTCAAACACCAGACCTCAGCAACAAGGCTATCCCTCGTGCGGTGCACTGTGGCTGCTCCTCCATGCAGCAGCAGCAGCCAGGCGGCGTTTCATCGATACACAACCGACAGCTGCTGCAGGAGGAGACGGTGAAGAACAGAGCTAGTGACAGAGAGAGAAAGAGTCGGTGTGTTGCACTAATTGTTATCAAATTAAGTGCCAATTGCTGTTTTCCAATACTGCAGTTGCAATCTTGTTGCTATGCTAATGGATTAACGCTACATATGACTATTAACCACACCCCATTCTCTGGTTAAGAAAGAACATTAACCTTTAAACAGGAAGTAAGACTAGCTGGAGGGGGGGCTTTAATCTGACAGTGGCATGCAACTTCCTGTGCTGTATCCGTCATGATTTAGTCATGATCTTATGTGATGAAGTAAGATTACAGCAAATTATTCTTATGCAACATGACATATTTTTGAACTGCAACATGAGCTCATGTGGATTAGGCTACATGATGGATCAGACAGGGGTATTATGATATAGGCGAGGCATTTAAGATTAAGACTAAGCAACAGGAAATCACACAGCCATGTTTTTTTCATGTGCTTTACCACAGCCTACATTCATCCTATTTCTAATGCAGTCATCCTATTTTCTAATGCAGTCATGCACTGAAATAGTCACACAGTTTTTTTATTGTTGTACTTTTTGTTGAATCCAAGTTTTAGTCTAATCTGCAAGATTTCAGTCCTGGCTGATTTGGCGACACTTGTGGTTACCAGGACAGCAGCAGCAAACACTCATAAGCAGCTACTTTGTCAGAAAAACAACAGCAGCGAAACTGGTGTGTGTGTGTGTGTGTGTGTGTGTGTGTGTGTGTGTGTGTGTGTGTGTTTGCGGCACAACCAAACAAACTCTGTTTTAATAAAGAAGACAGTCAAGAATGATTGCAACTGCAAACTGGCTCCACGCCCCGCAGTGCAGTAAGTTTTCCACACAACAGGAGGACACAGTTAAGTTGGTGACCTTGTAGGATGTTGACAGTCTGTCACCTGCAGCTCTTCATCTCAATGTGGTTTATTTTCTTTTCCTTTTTTGTTCCATTATTCTTTGCAACAAATTAAAGATGGCCCACTGCCAAAAATGCCATTGTTATGTTTTGTAGATGCAGTTTTGATGAACAGATGAGCACACACAACAAGCACAGTGTGTTTCCTGTGGCTGCTTCACAATAATAGCTGTCCAGTGTTTCACCAGCTGAACAATGTGAAGCAGTAGCAGTAGGAATTAATGTTTGCATTAACACTTAGTTGATGCAGCTCTTACATGTTGTACAGAGAGCAAACAGTAAAAAGTGGTACAGTTAGATAAGATTGTGCTAGATTACATGCATTAAGCCTTCTTCTGCAAATTCTGCACGGACTCCACCACTGCCTGTTAAAGGCTATATAGAGGCTATATATGGCTGCAAATGTAAAGAGTTGTTAAGCGATAAATGCTAACTGCTGGCATACAGCGGCCTCAGGTAGGAGCCCATTTAAGGCCCAGACAACCTGCTTGATAACATGAGGCACATAAGATTGACAGCTTCCCATGCAGACCTCTGCACACACCTACACCTGACCAGTACGGGATGTATTTTGTACCTACAAGGCCACTGTGCCCACGAACTGCCTCCAACCTCGAACAGGCAGGTGAAGATGGGAGGCTGCTACGCAGGATAGCGGCTGCCTTGCTCAGAATTGTAAGAAGCCACTTGCCTGTCACAGCAAGCTGAACTGTCTGAATATACAAGTGTCCTCTCTAGCTTAGAAATAACATCATAATCACTTTGCAGTAGAGACCCCCATTTCCATATCACACAAGTGTTGACTATTCACAAATTAAGAGGCACTGTGTGATTCCCCTGTCAGTGTGGATGTCTTTGACATATTCTATCACAGGTCCTTCTTTCAAGAATTGCTTTTCCCCGAGAGACAATTTCAGCTGTTGATCAAGAGAAAAAAGGCCAAGAAGTGTTAAATTGGTTATCAGATAATTCTGTAGGGCAGTGAAGACATTTTTGATTTATTTCTGTAATCACAGAAGACAGAGTGATATATTTGGCCATTTCATTTGCACTTCTGAAAAAATGAAATAAATTAATAGACCACAGCAGTCGTCTGTAATAGTATTAAAGCCACCTGTCACTCATAACAAGATCTGGGAGATTTTCCCAACCTGTTGCCATGGCAACTCTACAACATATGAAAACTCCTCAGAACTGAAAATAAACAGGGCTTTACCAGGCTCGCTGAGAGATTTGGGCAATAATGTTGCCAGTGCGGTGCAGATAGAGAGAATGTGGAAGATTCCCCACGACCACCAACATTTTGAGGAGAACTTAACTGCTCAGTGGCAATTAAGTTGTGCTTCTTCTCTCCGGCTAGATGACCACAGCAGTCTGGCATCATTTTGCTGCTGTCTTTATGGGACATGACACCATGACACAAGAAAGCTGATTTGTCAGTGTATATCAACCCTTATTTGAGTATCATGCATAGGTCCATAAAAGTGTAATATGCCCTCACTCTAGTTCTAGCAGAGTTGTAGTCAAGACCACCGAAACCAAGTCATGACCATGCCCATACTGAACTTAGACCAAGCCAAGGCCTAGGCTTTGATGGGTTGAGGCCAGGTCAAGACCAAAACCAAGACCAAGGCAGGGCGAGACTGAGTCAAAGCAAAGACCAGGCCAGAGCATGTCCCAATAACTGCAATAAACAGTTTTTATAAAATGTGGAACATGCAAACCTTAGGCACTCCACAAATTGATCTGAAAGATCAACATTCCCATAAAAACACCCACAGAAAACATGAAAGTTACTCTTCATTCGTGCACCCTGAGAGATGTCTTGATAAAACAATCAAAAGGCATTGTAAGAGTCAATTTTAAGTGTAGGGATTTCCTTTTCTGTCAGCAAACAAATACAAACAAATAAACTAAGGACCTATAATCAACTTAACCATCTTTATTGTGCAGGCAATTTAGTGATATCTCCACGGTTGGTTGGTCTTGAAGTAAAATCCAGAGTCCTCTTTGTCTGAGACCAAGACAAGGCCGAGTAAAAATGTAGTTGAGTCTGAGACGAGACCAAGACTCTCAAAAAGCGGTCTTCAGACCAAGAAGGATTCTAAGTACTACAACAGTGAGTTTGATGATTGACATGATTTGCCACACAATGACCTTCCTACCTAATCAAATGAGGTGCATTAAATGAGGCTCATTTTAATGATAAACCAAAAAGTATTCTATGGTTGCAATGATACCACTATCAAGAAGATTTACCATGATTCCTTGAACTGCTCTGTCAGTCCATTAGTTTCTCATGAGTGTTCATTTTCATTTTATTTAGACTTGGGTCAACAGCATACCGTATGTGCTGTAGCATGTTGTGCAAATGTTACCAAATGTCGTAGTCACCAGTTAAAGGGGTGACAGTCAGTAAGATATGGATAAGTTATGACAAAAAGAGTCGATAAATGTCCTTCTCAAGTTAGAAAGATAACATATTTATAGAGCCAAAACATAACTACCTGCAATGAAACAATAGGGCAATAAGATCAGCACATCAACGCAGCACTAAAGCAAACCCACAAAATTTAAACAGCCACACTCCTCACATTTGGCCCAGGCCCAGCGATCCCAGCAATGGCACTTTTCCACTTACAGACAACTTTATCATTTCAGTTGATTAGACTTTTACGACTGGATGACTGGCTAATCTCCACTTGTGTCATCTATCATCTGCTCTCATCGTCATAGTGGCGGCTGATGCCTCCTGATTAACTTACACAACTCCACACACATATGCACATGCTCACACTGACAAACTCACACAGGCACAGAAATGCTTTTTACCAATACTCCTTAAAGAGTTCACTGATACTAAAAACAGACAGACAGATCATAAATTGACAGTGTAGAGAGACAGACCTGTAAACCAGCGTGTCATCCCCGGAGCTGTTGTACTGGACCTGGAACATCCTGACTCCAGTTGTAGGAGTCTGACTGCTCCATCTAATGAGGGCAGAGTTCCCTGTCAGTTCCACCAATGAGACCCTCCGGTCTGCTCCTCTTGTCTCATTGTTAGGCAGCGCGACCTTAGAGGAGGTTAGGATGTCGGAGGGTGCAGGTTCAGCGGACGGGTCTCGGCTGCGGCTTGTGCTGTTCGCCAGATGGGGCATCGCTGTTACGACTAGCTCCACCCTTCCTGTGGATTCACCTGCCGCGTTGGAGGCAATGCAGGTGAAGTTACCTGAATCCTTCAGGGTTGTTACATTGATCTCCAGGCTTCCATTAGGGAAGACCAGTGTTCTGAAACAAGTCGAGATGTATCATTAAGTTAATTAATTCAATTAACCAAACAATAACTCAAAGTGACAAACATATACTGTAAAAATTTCACGAGTATGAGGCAATCGTGACTGGCATAGTCAGAAAATCATTTTACCATGAGCCAGGCCTTATCACTTGTCATTCATTCAATTACCTCTGGTTGCAAAAAAATCCTTTTTTTTTGCTAAGTTTTAGTTTTAGAGGGGACTCCCTTCTTGTCCGCACCTTCCAATCACGTAAACCCATACAAGCGCCAATTGCTAATCATGGTTCTCCTTATCAACCAATTTAGTCGCACCTGTACTTTGTTGCCTCCAGCACCTGATGCTGCTGCCAACTTCCACCACCAGCATTTATCCAGACTACAATGCAGTCACTGCCAAGCTGAGGGGCTATGTTGCTGACTGCTTTTGGGCTTCATCCCCATCTGTATCGGTGTTCCAACAAAAATCCAACAACTTGAGCAATTCTTGATAAAAATACCAAAAAAGTACGTAAAAAAGGGCTGTGACAATAGATCTCAAAACACTGTCAGTCATTCTATAACAGGTGTTGCATATGCAAAATCATAAGCATATTTGACATGTATGCCAACTAGGTCACCAGATGGAAATATGAGAAAGGTGTGACCTCAACAACTGCCTTCTAATCCTGATTCAGAGTTGGCCCACACGAGTCATGTGCCCACGCCCTTCTCCTACAGCCAAGACAAAAATTATGTGAGACACACTGTCTGACTTTCTGACTCGGTTGCACGTTGGCACATAGCACTGAGTTGGAGCAGTACAGGGAGGAATATTTAAACAGCCCCTCTCATACACCTGCCAACTGGGTTGCCAGGTTTCTGACATCATTGAATATTGAGCGGTGCTCTCAGAGGACAAGTCACATGACCTAAATTAACACCTTGTCTTTAATTTTGAAAAACGTATAGGCCTTTGGAGAAAAGTAATTCATTGTAGATTAAACAGTGGAGTGACTGTGTAGAGAGAATGTCAGTACCTGGAGCCATTAGATATAAGTCGCCCTTCAGGGCTGATCCAGTGGACTTCAGGCTCTGGGTCGCCATTCGCTTTGCACTTGAGGCTGGCTGGCTGGCCTTCCATTGCCACTGTATGAGGTGACTTCCGTGTCAGAACCGGTGGATCACAAATAAACTCCTACAGGGCAAAAATGAATAAGGTCATTGTTTATATTAGTTATTATTATTGAAATCATTTAAGGTCTGCCTTGGTTTCAAGGTTATGAGACAACTTTTTTATTAGTTTCCTGCAAGTGCTCAAAATGTCACCTCTTCAGGTATCGTCCAGAAGTACTTGGCACTGAGGTCAGAGGGAGAGGCGCATGTCTCGAGGTCATCTTCTCTGGTCAGTCTTCTTAACCACAGAAGTTCACAGTTACAGTGAAGGGGGTTGCCACCAAAACTTAACACCAGGGAGGAGAGGGGGGAGCCTCTGGACTTGGCATAAACTGGGATTCTCAGGAACAAAGGGTCCGGGGGAATTTTCTTCAGCTTGTTGGACGTCATGTCTAACCTGTGAAAGGACAGGTTAGGGAAAAGAGGAGAGGTGGACCAGAAGAGTGAGGGACAGACTTGTGTATTATCATTAGATCAACAGCAGCTCATTGGCTGATCAGTAAACCAGCTTGTGCATCCACTCATCTATCCATTTACCTTGCCAGCTTATGTAGGTTGGTGAATACCCCCTGGGGAACATTTTCTATGAGGTTATGATCCATATTTAGGGTATTGACGTTGGTTAGGCGCCCGATCGTGTCCCAGGGCGCCTGGGCAAGGTTGTTGTAGCTGAGGTCGAGATCCTCCAATGTGGACAGGAAGTCATCAAAGGCATGGGGGGATATGGAGTGGAGCTGGTTGTTAGCAAGGATTAGGTGACGAAGGTTTGTCAGGCCCTTAAAGTGGTCATCCTGTTTGGTGGAAAAAGTAAAAATGCTGTGAGAGGCATCACAGTAATATCACAATAGAGATGCTGTCTACCTAATATCTATCTACTTTACTTTTACATCTATCTTTCTGTCACTGTTGCCCTATCGTTCAATGACATCTATTGATTAACTGCCCATCCAAACTTAAAGGCCTCTAAGTCTGTTTATCAGTCCAGTGATCCATCTGACTCTTCATTAATCCATCCAGTCATCCATCCATTAGCCTCACCTTGATCACTGTTAATCTGTTAGAGTCTAGGTGGAGTGCTCTGAGTCGCCGCAGGTCACTGAAGGCTGAAGGGAGAATCTGACTGATGGTGTTTCTGGACAGGGTCAGATGTAGCAGACTGGTCATGTTGGCAAAGTCCTTTCTTCGGACAGCTGGGAGTGAGCAGAGTAAACACAAAGAGATACTCCATCAACTGAGTCCTAAGTGGCTGGATATATTACATAGATACAGTATTATGGGGAAAAAAGGGAAGTTAAAAGATGCATGTACAACAAATAGGTTCTAAAGTATAGATGCTTGCCTGAGCATAGAAAAGATAGTTCAGGTTTGTAATTTCCTACAAACATATTTTTCTGAGCTGGACAGGGAGGAGAAGTATAAGCATAGGAAAAAGTAGTGACAGGATACATTTACCGAAAGCATGTCTGCTTTTCTGCTGAACATGCTGACGGTCACGTTTGGTCACATGCAAACCATCGTGTTAAATTTAAATAGACAAGCCCATACCTAATTAGCCTTAGAGTTCAAAGTCTGAACCCCATGATACCAAGTATGTTTTATTAATTTCTGTAAAATTAACTTTTTGGCACAATATATTAAGAACCTCAGCTGACAGCAGAGAGAATCTGTTGCCCAAAATGAGATACAGAATCTTCAGTTTTGCACAGGGTATTGCTCAACTGAAATTGATTTGGACATGAACGATGTGACTTAAATAACTGTGGCTGTGTGATGTTGTTAATGGCGCATCACATTATCTCTCTGGACTGTGTGAAGGCAGTCTTTTTTTAGCCTGTGTGTCTTTTGTTTTGGAGAACTATGGAATGGAGTTTCTTTTAAGTGGAGCCTGGGAAGATTAGGTGGCTGCCGTGGTGGGAGCTAATGGGAATCCAGATTAAAATAAAAGGATAAAGCAACACTTCAGTTCTTAAAAATAAGTATGTTTCAAAGTATCCGAGACAGTGCTTTGATATAAGGAGGAGATGAATCATGAATGAGATTTGCTAGACTGAACGACAGAACAAAAAAGTTTCAAAGTATGAAACTTAAAAAGAAATACCCAGACTCATAAGAAATATTACTTATTGTCATGTCCAACAAAAAGGAAGTGTGACTTGAGCCAACATTTGTTTTCAGCGCTATCATTCGCATGTGACACACTTACTCACTGCATCCAGTGTTCTCTTTGAATTCCAGCTGCATATTTAACCTGTGAATACATTACTCACTCTTTTGCAATTTTGCTACTGCTGCTACTGCTTAAAATTGTAGCATGCAGCAAGTTCCTCCTTGAAGAAATTATTTTAGGCAGTGATTGGTGAGGATGAACAGACTGGGCCATGCCTTGAATGTCTTAACGCTCTCTAATGCCCTGCCACGATTGATGGTAAAAATGCAATACAGGACAGTATGGCAGATGTGTTACCTGTTATGAAGTTCTCTTGAAGCCGTAGCTCCACGGTGCGTCGGTCAATGGCAGCAGGAACAAACAGCAAGCCCGTCTTGGAGCAGAGGATAGCGAGCGATGGAGAAAGGCTCTGGCACATACAGCGTTTCGGACACGGCTGTCCCCTGCACGCTGCTGCCAGCAACAGCAAAGAGAACCACAGCCGTTCCATTATCCTCCACTGGGAACAGGGCATCTAGAAAACAGAAGGAAAATGAGGGATGAGTTGAAGTAGATACAAAGATAGCCTTCCTCAAGACAATGCAACTGGCAGGAAGTCACAGGACTTGGTCAAAAAGAAGAGTTGAGACAAAGAAGCGTTTAAGAATATATAAAGCCCTCTGTAGACTCAACGAAATCAGAGATTCCTTTTTATTTTATCATTCCCAGTAAAAAATAAACATGAAGCTTAGGAAATTGGCTAACCTGCTGACAGCAATCCACTTAGCTTGTAAAACATAGCTCAGTAGCTGACGTGACTAACAGCTGACAGTGCTTTTTGCGTGCTTGAACATCTAACCTGTTGAGTTTGGTTAAATCAAACTTGCGTCTGTTGGCCTGGTCGGTACAGTTCATTGGAGCTGCTGTGAAAGCAAACAAACTAACCCCAGGATTTCATGATAGCAGGTAAAGTATATGATTTTAGCATGATTTAAAAAGCCAAACTACCAATAAACACATCTGCTTACGTGAAATATGTCCATGATCTCCTATTGATCTATGTATAGCCTAATTATGTGAATGATTTGGTAACCATGGTGACATGTCGGCCTATCAACCCGGGTATTTCCCCTGATTAATAGTTAAAAAGCTGTTCAAACTGCTGTGCTTGTATCAGACCCTGTGTACTTTGTCAGTTCATTAAGTCCATTAAAAACTGCGTGACAGTGATTCCACAGTAACAAGCCCAGAATCATTACTGTACAAGACGCCTCCTTCTCCTGTCTCTACCTGTTAGTCATTATTATGTGGTCAATTTGCAGTCTAATTACACTAATAATTCTTATAATCAGTTATTTCTTCTTGAGCTCTTTGTGACGACAAGGGACATAAATATACCCATCCGAAGCAAATGTGCTGCTTTAACTTCTGTCAGTCAGCGGAGTTTGATTTCCAGCTGTGGGTCCTGATGATGCAGGGTGACAATCATGAAAAGTGTCCAATTAATATTACTTCATGTCTTCTCTTTTTGGTTCATTTGTAAAAAGTCAGTATAAAGAGGAACCAGACCAGAGCTAAATCCCCGGCTCCTCCAGTCTGCATGTTGAAGTATCCTTGAGCAAGATACTGAACCCCAAATTGCTTCTGATGGCTGTTCCATCGGTGTGTGAGTGTGTGAAAAACTGAGTAGCAGGTGGCACCTTGTTTGGTAGCCTCAGCCACCAGTGTATGAATGTGTGTGTGAATGGGTGAATGTGACTCGTAGTGTAAAAAGCTCTTTGGGTGGTCGGATGACTAGAAAGGCACTGTATAAGTTCAGTCCATTTAAACGCTACAATGTGTCATCCCCCCGTCCTTACCAAATTAACTTGAACTTGAAACCCTAAAACGTATTGATTCCAGCCTCGATAGAGCGACATCGACAACGTAATGTGAGCTGATCTAAAACTGTCTTGAATGCACAGTTTTTAAAGGTCTATAATGTACCACACCGCAACGTGATGAATAATGAAACAACCTGTGTGCCGTCATATAGTTCTTCCACATAGTTTCTTTGTCATTTCATGTGGAGCCACATTAAACTAGTCTGTGCCTGTGCCTGTGCCTGTGTTTGGCAAAATAAAGGATCCCTTTTCCTAACTTCTACAAGAAAAATAAATGTCAATTACCACTGCATGATATGCAAAATAGTAATAATGATAATGATTAATAAATAAAACTTGCATTGGGAATAATTTGACAGATATTACGAATGCAGTATGAGTCTCAATGTTTTAGTGGAAATTTTGCATTTCATTTTCACTGAGAAAATATTAAAGTGATAATGAGATTTTTGAGGGTTGTCTGTATCAAACAAGCATGTTCCCTTATGTCTTCAATATGATTAACAGGCTCAGGCAACTTTGTAGCACCACAATGCTTCATTTATAATGTATTTTGTGACACATTTTTACCATTATTAAAACATTCCATCTCCTCCAATTTGGATATTGCACTTAGCCATAATGCAGTTTCAATAATATTTTCATCAGCTGCGCAGCTCTAATGTCTGTGTCCCATGTATTCTTTTTCCAGACAAAAAAACAAAATAGTTCAACACCACTACCAGGATATTTTTGTGGGTTTATATTGTATAATCATGTTATTGCTGCTTACACTGTTGACTTAAACATGCAATTTCACAGCCAAACTACTATTGAGCACTCCCCTCGAATAATCCCTTTACAATAACTCCTTTTTATTTAAAACTTAACAATAACATCAGGGTAGGGAGAGGAGAGCGAGAAGTAGATCATGGCCCTGCTTGGGACCTGGAGTAAATTACACAATGCTGTGAGCTCATAATGGGTTCTATCATTGTGTGGCTGCATGGTGAGCTGGCATTTTCCTGAGGCACACTGGGGATTTTTTCTCGCCGGTACCTCTTTGATATTTTGGCAAGATGTAATATAGGCAGGGGGTGTAAAAAGGTGAGGTGAATATGTGTAACAGTCTTGCATCTCTCATCCACAGCATCTTGTATGCTGAATATAGGCCTCTTAAAAGCACACATCCACATGTGCTCTTAGTATTCTGGACTTTTTTTTTTTTTTTTTAAATATAAGCATTTCAATTAATAGTACTGGCCATGATGACACTCTTGGGACTTGAGGGACACGCACCCAATTTAAAACAGTTCCAACAAAACTTGTCAGACAGATTTTTCTCTTTCCAGTTTACAGCTCTTAAACCCCCTCAGGACAATCCCCTCCTCACTTGGAATGTGTTTCCAGCAACACCTGTCAAAGTCGTTTTAACAGGTGTTACAAAAGCAGCATCTGATGCACCATAATAGAGTGGCAATATAAGTTGATCTCTGTCTGCGATGACGTGATGTAGTACAACAGAAGCGTGTCTGCTCAAAACTGCAATGACGAAACTGCATAGCTGCGAGTAAATCTGCAACTATTTGTGGATCATAAACAGTAAATATGGTTAATAATAAACCATTCATGCTTTCCAATAAGGCTTCAGTAGACCACCAGGCTGAATTTTGTTTTCTCCAAAGAGTCCGTCAAAGAGTCGCCTTCCTGTTTGTCTGTAATTGATACATTCGGATGTAGGTGTCTTGACACAAATCTTTGTCTATTGATCTTGACTAACCTGGCTAACCCTGCTAAGCCAACCAGAATGCTACAGCTGGGGTTAAGCAACCAGTACGCTGCCAGAACGTACCAGAGAAAACATGAGCTCCAAAATATCTATTCTGCATGTGCGGTTAGTAGACATAAATAGACTACTTTGACAGTTTGGGTCAACAGGGCAAACTAGACATACATCACTTACTGAACCGGGATGAATAAACATACTGTTACACCCTTAGCAGTCACTACACCTAGCCAAATCATGGTTAGCATGATAAAGTATTGCCCAGTGTGATATGATTTTTTTCTATCCATCCATCCATTTTCAACCACTTGGACAAAGTATTCCAGATGCCCCTCTTCCCAGCACCGTTCTCTCGTTCCTCCTGGGGGACCCCAAGGTGTTCCCAGGCCCAGGCGTTCCCATATACCTGTTGTTCCCTCAGTTATACTCCATGCTTTCTCTCTTCACTCTTCACTCTCTCCATCATCCCTTTTATACCCATGTGAATACATCACGTTGTACAAACAATAGAAAGTGATTTGCTCACAATTTCTTATTCTTGTCATCATTTAAATATCACTTGATCCTCCTTCACGTTCTATAATGTGCCCTAGCTGTCCATCATTCTGTGTAATCAATACATTTTCTTTCACTCCAACTAATTTTCCCTCTTCTCATCTATCATACATCCCTCATCTTGTCATCATCTTGGGTTTTTTTACTACCCTCTCAGCTCTCCCTTTTTTCCTCCTCTCTTAAACCTTTATTTATAAAGCATGGTTCCTGCAGAGGCTGTAAAGTGAGATTTATAGTTGTGCGTCAGCTCTATGCAAAGTCTACGCCCAAGCCTACGCACGTGGCCTACGCCGTTGTGAGGATTTATACTTGTGCGGTTGTGTGTCTGTGTCACTCTGCAGTTACACCACACCACAGGCGGGATATATAATCCCTCCAGCATATTCTAGGTCTGCCCCGGGGCCTCCAACCAGTGGGACGTGCCTGGAACACCTCTAACAGGAGGCGCCAAGGATGTACTTTATCAGATGCCTGAACCACCTCAACTGACCCCATTCCACGCGAAGGAACACCGGCTCTACCCTGATCTCCTTCCGGATGTTCGAGCTCCATGCCCTATCTCTAAGGCTGAGCCCAGCCATCCCTCTGAGGACACGCATTTCAGCCGCTTGTATCCGCAATCTCATTCTTTCGGTCATCACCCATAGCTCATGATAGATGAGGGTTGGGATGTAAATGGACCAGTAAATCCAAATTTTTGAGGCTATCCCAAAATCTTTTCTGTTTCTTGTAATGCACACCCTGTGCAAAAGAGCAGGAACAGATAGTCTCTAGGATCATCACTTTGGAATCAGTTGCTCTCATTGTTGAGGCTATTTAATATCATAGTTATCACTCTGCACTGCAGCCAACAACTGTTACACAGCACAATCGTACACCAAGACTTGTAATCGACCATCTCCAACCATCTCATGTTAAACAACTGTCATGAGCATGTTATTTTACGACTTCATTAAACAGGTTTTTCTGTAGTGTCTTAGAAATGAAGGTATGACTCATAACCCTGTTTATTTGGTGTGATCTTACACAAAATGAATCTGGCTTTTGATAAAAACCATGTTGCACATGAGGATGAATCAGTCCGACTTGGCTACTTGAATTTATCTCAGTTTCATTACACTGATAGAAAGAGTCACATCCTTCTTGCAATTAGAGTTGTCTTTGCTGTAAAATGGTGAGGGACTCAAAATGTCACTGACGTCATTAAGGATCAAATTCCACCTGTGAGATTTTAACAAGGCATCTAAATATGGAACCATTTCCACTCTCCAACATGACTCAAAACTCATGGTGTGATATGTGTGTGTACCAGTGGGCAGCAGTATATTAGCC